ATATATATATATATATATATATATATATATATAGAAAAATATATATATTTCCATGGCAAAAATAAACAATAAATATTGCATAAATATTAATAAATTCAATTAAATTGTCTCAAAATACTAAATTAAAAAAATGAATATTATAGAACAAAAATAAATTGCATTGGTTTTACTGGGATGGAGAAAGTTTAATTTTTAGGTGTCCGGTCAGGTGTCCGGGAAGATAACAAGTGTGACTACGAAACGAAGAGCACCTGAGAGTTAAGTTGAATTACTGAAATTAACTTTTGCATGATTTTCACCATTTTCACTTTTGATCTTGTTTCACCTGTACTTACTGTTTACTCCATTTCTGTAATTCCGCTTTTTGAATGGACTCTCTCTGGTCTACATCAACACCCGCTTGCACCACCAGCTGGTGAGGACGACTTGCAGCAGATTTACTGAAATAAATGAACTTTTACAAAATATTCAAATTTTTCATAATGCATTTACGTTTAAGTCTCCGTGGTTACTTTCCCCGTGTACATGTAAGCAGCTTTTTCTACCATGAACAAGATTATAACATTCTCCTGATGCTGATGTATAAATCAAACATTACATCTGAGTCTCTCGGTTAAGTTTCCTTAACTTTATATTGTGGCACTGTGCTGCAGTATTAGGGTTTCCATATGTCAAACTCCAGGATTCTCCAGGATTGATTTTTTAAGAATGTGTGTGAATTTGTGAAATGTTTTGAATTGAAACATTCACAGCTTAAATATCAGACCATATCGAATTTCAGACCATAAAAATGCAAGTCCTAAAAATACAATGCATTGAAATGCAAGCAGTACATTTTTTTAAAATAGTGAAATTCAACAAGCTGTTTTGTTTCGAATACATTTGTCATTATTTTACTTTCACAAATTTTTAAAATTATACAGCATACTTATGTAAACAGTTTTGTGGCGGGGAAACCAAATGTTCTGTTCTGAATTTGAACTAGTGCAAAGCCTTGAGCAAAGGTGGAGGGTTTTGTTAAAAATACCTTTCTAATGTCAAATCATATCAAGCTATTTGTATAGACCAGTTCAAATGTTTTGACATTTTGTTTCCAATTTTAAACAAATCCTGTATGATAAACATGTTACAGCCATTTACCTCCAGCTGTCCTCCAGCCCAGATTATGTTGTCAGTGTTGAGCACAAATCGTTGGTCAGGGGCCAGTGAAGCATCATAGTATCCTACTGGTTTAAACTTGATTGATCCATTAGAGTCCTGCTGCCAATTCACAACTTCATATTGGGCTACAACTGCACCAGTACTGTCAAACCACACGTGATCTCCCATCTTCATTGTGAAATTTACCTTTTTCAGAGCCTTAACCACCTATTGAGAAAAAATCATTTTGAGGCACAAATTGGTGAATCCTCTTGTTCTCTCCCTTTCAGTCTATAACTCTGTCTATATTTTTTATGTTATTACCTGCTGTGGTTGTATTTTCAGGTCTGTTTCACAACCCTCTTTTTCTTTGCACTTTAGTAGATTGTGTAGTGAATGAGCCACTGCATAAACTGATTTGTATACATTGCTTGCGTATCTTTGTTCAGATACATCTTCATTGTTGCTTTTCAACACAAGGAGATCTTGATATGCTTTGCAAATTAATTGATATTGAGAAGAATTCCCCTCAGTCTGTGAGCATGGAAAAGCTGTGTTCCAGAATGATTTTATAACATAATCTGCAAAACCTTCAATATTGTTTTTTTTCACAGCAAACCCCAATGATCCTCCCAGCACATGAAAACTGTTAGGAGTGACCATACTGTCAGCTGTTATCCATGCCTCCACACCAATTACTTGGAGGCCTGTAATGTTCTGAATAATTAAATAATCAAGTAGATTGTTCATTTCAAAATTGGTAAGAAATGCAACAATGACTTTTGCAGTGCCTTTTTGTATTGTGTCTACCACATTTTTAAGTTTTTCAGTCTCTGTTCTCTGGAATTTTACAGAGTACTCCACACAAATCCCCTCCTTCTCAGCTGTATTCAGAAATATGGCCATTCCATAGTTTCCATAATCGTTGTCACTGTTCACAGCTCCCACCCAAGACCAGCCAAAGTATTTGATTATGAATGCTAGTGCTCTGCTCTGGTGGTAATCACTAGCGATAGTTCTGAAGAAATAGGGGTAATCTTTTCTATTACTGAGACATTCACATGAGGCTGAGGGACTTATCTGAAATAAGGCATAAGAAAACAGTGAAACAGTCATCAATATTTATGTCAAACATTAGTGTGTTTTTGCTTCTTACCACTGGAATTTTAAAAGGTCCTGTAGTTCTGGACAGAATAACTGTGTTGGATGACTCGGTTTCTCCTATGATTGCATGAATAGGAGACAGTCCATTACATCTGTCCCCTGATGCAAATTGTTCACCATTCATTAATGCCATATTTGCACCCATAGAAGATAGCCTTGAACCACAGGTATCATAAATTCGGTAGCCAATAGAAACATTTGGGAGCAGATTTTCACTTCTGTTAATCTCCTCTATGGCAAAGATCATGATTTGAGCCATTCGGAAATCTCTCAGGCTCACACTGTACAGAAATAAAACCAGAAGGTTAAACAAACTGCATTATTTGCATGGATTTTTAAGAGCAAAATAGATTTTAGTAAGTAAAAAACCTTGAGCATGATAAAAGCTGAGGTTTTTGCTGAAACTTATATAAAGGTAATGTCTCTATGCTGTGGATTGGAAAAAGTGCTCCAATAGTTACGTCTCCATCCTTTGAAAGCAATGGGTATTTTGGGTCCCCCATCATTTGGCAAAGAGACTTTTCTGCCTTTGCATGAAGTTGAAAGTTAAGCAAGATTATGCAAAGAAAGACAGACATCCCAAAGTCTGAGTTCAACAGTGGCCAATGCAACTGGCTTAATTCAATATGTGCACTTTTATACACATAATTAATATGGATGATTGATTGTCAATGTAGCCAATGACCTCATTGGGTAAGGACATGTGCAAGTCAAGCAGAGGCAGAATAGAGTAACATTATTATGATAGAGCCTGGTTTAGTCTGACTATTTAAATAATCAGTCATTGCTGTAAATTCATACTGTGATACCTATCTAATAAATTATGCCTCTTTTTGGTCCAAACAGCCTTTTGTCAAATATTACCTATTAATATAACTATCAATTCCAATAAATTAATATAACTAACCCTTAGGGGTCCAACATGTGTTTTGTTGTCTTTGAGATGTTCTGACATTTGTGCTTTTTTAGTTGCTTATAAACATTTGTATGGCAAAGGTGTCTGTAACGAGGTTCGTTGTAGTTGGACGGAGGAGGTGGGAGCCGGCGAACAATCAACAAGTTTAATAACATAAAATAAATAAAAGACAAAAGCCCCTCACGGACGACTGCTGTCACAAATAATACAACAAAACACAACATAAGTTCAGGCCTGTTCCTCTCTCGATCTTCACAGTCGCTTTTCGATTGAATTCGCAGTATCTTCCTTGTCTCGTGTCGTTGTTATTGTGTGTGTGTGTGTGTGTGTGGACGTGGTCACCGATCAATACCACTAATCAGCGGTGCCAGCTGCTTCTGATCAGCTGTGCCTATATATGCTCACAGTTTCATCTTGTCTTTGGCCCTGTTTACACGAAAGGGAAAATGCAGATATTTCCCTGTTTTTATCACAGAAAATGATTATTTCTAAAAACTCCGGCCAAAGTGGAGATTTCTGAAAACGCCGGTCATGTGTTGTCGTATGAACTGGGAGAAACAGGGTTTTAGGTTCTATCTTGTCGATTCTGAGGATTCTGGTTGGCTTGCATGGCTTTATCCTTCTCTCTACACTGCCACCAATAGATTTGGCATAGTTATAATGGCGCTCGACAGCGTATTTATGCGGGTGTGTAAACAATGTTATTTTTGAAAACGGAGAGGGGGAAAATATTCGGTAACACTTTATTTGAAGGGGTGTGCATAAGACTGACATGACAGGGTCACAAACATGACATAACACCTGTCATGAACATGAAGGAGTCTTTATGAATGTTTATGACTGTTGTCATTAAATGTCCCCAGATAGCAAACTGACATTGAATCAACGTGGAAATATGACATCGAAACAACGTTGATCTGACATTGTTTTGCTCATCGAATTAACGTTGAACCAACGTCAGACGCGTCATTCTTTCAAAACTAACGGAAAATCAACTTGAAATCAACGCGTTGTTTCAACGTTATGAAAGCAAACCAATTTTCGATTGTCATTTAGCTTTGAAGAATGCCGCGTCTGACGTTGGTTCAACGTTAATTCGATGAGCAAAATCAACGTTGTTTCAATGTCATGAGAGACGTCGTTTCCACGTTGATTCAATGTCAGTTTGCTGTCTGGGTCATTTGGTAAATTATGACACTTTTAATGCAAAGTTGACATTGTTTAAAATTTCATTGTTATAATAACTTGACATTAACAAAGACAAAAATGTCTTTGTTATGACAACTTGACATTAATCAAGACAAAAAATGTCTTTGTTATGACAACTTGACATTAAATTAACCAAGAAATTATAACCTGTCAACCTGTCACAAATATGTCATAACAGGTCTAATTATCAAACTTAAAGAAGTTATTTAGCTTTGTGTTAACATTACATCACCTTGTCATATGTTATGGTTGGTTTTATCTTTGGTTGTCATGACACCATTATAACTGTGACATGAATATTTTACTTGTCCTCAAATAAAGTGGAACACATTGTCTAGTTATAAAAATGTCATTAAGGGTTATTACACTGTCAAATGCTTTAACAACAGTGTCATTAATATGTCTCTTTACCTCAAGTAAAGTGGAACACGTTGGACTAGTTATGATTTCTTGGTTAATGTCAAGTTGTCATAACAAAGATATTTCTGTCTTTGTTAATGTCAAGTTGTCATAATCAAGACATTTTTGTCTTGGTTAATGTCAAGCTGTAATAATCAAGACATTTTTGTCTTTGTTAATGTCAAGTTGTCATAACAAAGACATTTTTAAACAATGTCAACTTTGCATTAAAACTGTCATAATTTACCGAATGACACTTAATGACAACAGTCATAAACATTCATAAAGACTCCTTCATGTTCATGGCAGGTGTTATGTCATGTTTATGACAGTGTCATGTCAGTCTTATGCACACCTCTTCAAATAAAGTGTTACTAAATAGTAATTTTGCTAAATACCCGGCTTTGTGTAAACGTGGCCTTTGTCAGATCGTTGTGGTATGTTCACGGTTGTGTTCCTGTTCGGCATTTTCCTGTGGTCCTCATTCCTGTTGAATGTGTCTCGTCGTGTCTTCATTTTCCTGTCACCAGAACAACACTTCAGACTCACGGATTTGACCTCATCAGTCATCCAACAACAACCCGGTTGCCCATTGCAGGTCTTGCGTCACTCTCCCGCCCTGTGTGTGATGTTTGTGTGAACCTGACCAACTCTGTTTATTCCAATAAACTGTACTCCGTGGTTCCACAATCAGCATCTCCAACACGGGGCAGGCAGTACAAGCTTTAGTGGTGCAGGTGTCCGAGCTCACCCAGCAATTCCAACATCTGAGATGTCCCAATGCAACACCCACACTGCCCGTTCAAACAAGACTTCCTGAGGCGACTCCCCAGTCACAGCCTCGTCTTCCAGTCCCGGAAGCGTATTCCGGAGAACCCAAGTTCTGCAGAGCATTCTTGAATAGATGTTCCATGCACTTTTCGCTTTAACCTCGAACCTTCAGCAATGAAAGATCTAAGGGTAATGGCGGTGTAGGAGAACCAGGATCCATGCCGTGACTCGTTCCAGGCACTCGCCTCAGAGATGAAGAGTGTCTTTGGCCAGTCGATAGCAGGTAGAGGTGAGAAGCAACAGAGTTCTCGCTGACCTGCGACAAGGAGATCGATCTGTATCAGACTATTCCATAGAATTCCGCACACTGGGCAATGGAAGTGGAGATGCAGTGGGACATGTGTGGGCTGACTGACCGTGTCCAAAGAGAGATCTACTATCGGGGGGGGGATCTCCATCGAGAAGACCTCATCATCATCATCGTCGTCCACACTCCTCCCGATTAAACTGAGATGGGTAGCCAGTACTCACGACTGCCATGCCTTACTGGACTCGGGAGCAGAGGGGAATTTTATGGACCGTAAGCTCACTCATGACCTTAACATCCCCATCACCCCACTGACTCATAGCATATGTCAACACCCTTATTGGCTAAAGGCTCCCCAATATTGCACTCACTACTGGACCCATAATACTTACCACATCTGCCAATCATACCGAAACCCAGTAATTTCTCATCATGGACTCACCTCTGGTGAAGGATGGTACTCTGCAACCTTTTATTGATTACAAGGGGTTGAATAACATCACGGTAAAGAATACTTATCCTTTACTGTTGATGTCTTCAGCTTTCGAGAGGTTGCAGGGAGCATCAGTATGCACAAAACTAAATTTACGTAATGCCCATCATTTGATTCGCATTAGGAAGGGGGAGGAATGGAAGAATATGGGGCATTTTGAATATTTGGTCATGCCATTTGGGCTGTCCAACTCCCCAGCGGTCTTCCAGGCACTCGTCAACAACATGCTGCGAGCATGTTCTTTTGTAGGATACATCGTCTCGTCTGAGGTAGTGCTTATGGATCCTGACAAGGTTCATGCCCGTTTCACATATACTCGATCTGCAGTTCGTATGCTGTGCGTATTTTTTTCTGTACTCATGTTAACATGTTAGAGCTTTCACACTTTTTTTAAAAACGATCGTTTACGCACCGAGTCTATTTTTGCTGTGCTGCAGGTGCTGAATTAAAGTGACAGAGCATAGTTTGTGGTAGTGTTGTCTACAATACCATTATTGTTTCGATACCAATACCAAGTCAAAAATTTCGATTTCGATACTTTTATGATACTTTTCCCGAAAAGGAAAAGTATTTCTTACAAGGCGTTTCACATACACCTTCTTTGCATAGGTCTGTGCTCTTTAAATGCTGTACCTAATTTAAATAAATAATTGTGATGAAACTCTATGAAAGTAGGGGTTAAAGTTGTGCACCAAATACAAAAATAAATAAAACATCTCCAGGTAACTAACTACGTCTCTAAACTATTCATTTAATTTGCTATTAAATAAGAGATCTAAAATCTGTTGGTTTTTTTTAAATCAAGCGGAGCGCTCTTGTTCGCATGGATTTAGTGTCTTCTGCGGCTCGTGCACCATCTTCACTTGGACGCTTTCATGATGCTTCAATCTATCACCGTTGCGAAGACTCTATACTCTCTATTCTGCACACCAGGCCGCCGGATGGTGTTGCTAAGAACTTGCAATGTATAACTATCAGACAGACCAGCCCTTGGGGCCTCGAAACACTACCAGCCCCCCCGGGAAAAGTCCTGACTCTCCGGATAGCCACTCCGCAACTGACCGGCAGCCACAGTATCACTTGTGCTCGCTACAACACTAAAGCACATCCTGGTTGGCTGTAGGACCAGCCTCACTCAAGGCAGATACACATGGAGACATAAAGGTCCTCAGGTGTCTAGCCGACAAGCTTGAGTGTAAGAGGGCATCCATCAATGCCCAACCCTTTAACAACCAGGATGTGCGCCAACACCCACCTTTGTTCGTTCGAGAGGGGGAAAAGGTGAGGGCTAGCCGCTCAAACCCTGATCTCACCCCAATGAATGTAGCCAGGGACTGGCAGATGCAAGTCGACCTAAGTCAGAAGCTAATTTTCCCTCCGGAGATTGCAACAACCAACCTGCGTCCTGCCGGCTCGCCTTTATCATAGAATTGACAGTTTCCTGGGAGGATGCCATCGAAGAAGTGTATGAGCGCAAGACAATAACAGTGCTAAGCTGCGCTATTCCAACTTAGCAGCTTAGGCAGACGACAGAGTCTGGAAGATAAGGGTGCGTTCGGTGGAGGTGGGGTGTAGG